TTTCGAGAAAAATCGACGAATTTTTCTTTCATTTTTATCCTTTCAGTAATTAATGTGAAACTCTTTTTGAGGAGAATCAACGAATTTTGTTGATATCCACGTATTTTAGAAAAATTAATCCAAAAAGAAAATATTTGATACCTATTAATTTCGGTTTTTAGAAAAATTTCATTAGTATTCTCTTCAAGTTAGAAATCTCATAGAATCTCACGATGTATTTCTTAAAAGTAGACTCTACTCAAAAACTACTCAAGACTAACTTTCGCTATCAGTTTCTTTTTTAAATTGAAGAATTGTTTACGTGGATTGATACTTAAACAAAAGCTCATTCGTGTTTCTTAATAGTAGAATAAAGAATTCTAACAAATTCCGAGAACCATTTAAATCTTGACTGTCGATAAAAAAAATAAATACAAAAGACAGTGAATTTGTCCAATTTCTGGAAAATGACTTCAATATGTTGATACTTAAATACAAATAGACAAAAGAGAGTCTAAGTGCTATTAAAACTTCTCCTCAACTTTCACTGTCTTTTCCTTTTGAAAGTGAAAAAGGACTTACTTGGACTCTAGCCTCCGTCAGGTCGATTTTCATGGCGATTTCTTCTCTAGTGTAAATATCCGGATAGTGAGTCTCCTGGAAGGCACGCTCCAATTCTTTAAGCTGAGCCGAGGTGAAGGTTGTTCGTATCCGACGCTGTTTCCTCTTCTCCGCCAGGCCATCGTGTCCGGAGTAAGCCTTATATCCTAGTCCACCTGAAAATTGACAGAGAAAGGAGTGAAAAATTGCAAGAAAATCCATACTCACTATACAAGAACAGCCTAACATAACAATGTTAAGAATCTCGATTGAAAATGGTACAAAAACTGAACTTGGCATTCAACGATATGCTCTACAACATATTCCAAATGTCTTGCATTCAATTTTTCACTGTATTCTACTTTTAACCCCGGAATTTTCACTCAGACTCTAATCCAAACGTTTGCCATTAAATTTGATATTTTTAAATCAACCCCTTGACTTAGAATTTCTTTTCCTGACCATGCATGTAAGTCAAGTAAGAAAAGCTCGTGTATTATACACTATTTCCATTCGATAATCCTCAGTTTTAGAACGAAAATTAATTTAACTGTTTTAGTCGCAGCTTGAACAGAATCTGTGCCACTGTGTACAATTTTAGATATGTTATTTCACCCTCTTATAGCCCACAGAATTTTCACCCATGGTATAGTTAACAAAGCTTGAGAAAATTATGAGTAAGCACTCCAGGGTTAAATCGGTACAACACAGTTTCATGCACAGTCAAGTGTTTCTTTTGAAATTGAAATTGTCAGAAAGAAGTTGCACATCTAAATTAAACGCAAAACTATCTACAAATTAACAGACTCTTCATTTACACCCTGTTTCCATCAAACACTATCCAGGGTGACCTCATAGCTACCCTAAAACCACCAGCTCTACCAACATCCTCTCTGAATCATCCTCTCGAAACTTTCTCCTAAGCAGTCACAGTCCAAACCTCCGTCCTCTCCTTATCACAGAATCGCGCGTGCATTATACAGATTGTTAAAACATGAAGAAAATCAGTGTGGTCGGATTACTTGAGAGGAGAAACAGCCTTCCAGAGGAGGCCTCTGTGCAGGCAGAGAGGAGGTGGAAGCTTATAGATTATAGAATATAGGTGAGGATGGCTGGGATAGCGAGCAACGTAACCATAGCAATGAGAGAGTGAAGGAGGAGAGGGATTGAAAGAGTGAGGGTGAAGGAAACGTAGGATGAGACAGAGAGTTGAGCTGAGGTAAATGAGGGAGAGACGAAGAAAGGGCGAGAAAGAGAGAGGCAAGAATCCAAAAGTGGAAGAGAGGGAAAGGGAGGACGAGACACATCCATTGATTTTCAGTGCCATCTTGTCGTCGTTTCCAGAGGAAATACCGTTGCTGGTAGGTTCGAGCATGGAGACGAACCATCGTGAGGCAACTTTCCCCTAGGGGAACAAGGACCACCCTCTTTTTTCCAGGGTAAAGACGCTCTCCTTCGCTCCGCCCGCGTCTCCAATTGATTGTCCCTTCCCAGGTTCTGCCGTTTCAACGATGGACGATGCTTGATTCGTTTTGGTGGGAATTTTTCGACGAATTAACGAACAGGTTCGATTTGATTCGTGGGAATTCCTGACGTTCTCTGTGAAATTTAAATAGTTTTCGCGCGTATATTGGAGGCTAATTTTATTTTCCGCGAGGTGATTGAATCAAGTTTTTTGTACGAAGTTTCCTCGATACGAACATGTTTCCGCTGTTGATTCGTTGAGTTCGTAGATAATGGAATCTAGCACTTTTTTAAATTGAGAATTATTCTTCGGTGCGAGAAGGGCTAAAGAAACAGTCCACGAGCTGTTGCAAATTTTTGAAATGAAAGATATTGTAAGAGAAAGGGGGGGCAACCTTGAGTCGTGACAGTAATGATAGTATTCTAAAATTTTATTTGACTAGTTATTCCTAAATTAACGAGAGGAAAATGTTGGGACGAATTTTCTCAATTTTTATGATTCACGAAGAACACTAAATGTAGGCTTATTCATTGTAAAGCACAGTATTTTTTATATTATTTTTAATAGCAGCAAAATGTGTCTGCTAGATGTACAAGAAAGTTCTTATATCTGAACTTTAAATTACGAACTTGCTTAATTTCACTAATGAATGCAACGAATAAGATAGATTATTTTACATGCCACGTTACAGTATATAAACAAGAATTATGAAAGAGAGGGAGAAATGACATAACAGTAAACAAACAGTGCACAACAAAAGGAAAACTTTCTTGTTTACTAGACAAAATAAACAAATCGTTCCTTTACATTAAAGATCCAATAAAAAATCAAACATTCCACAAAAATAAATCCTATTGCATTCCAACAACTGAACTAGGAAGCAACCAAAATAGGAAAAAACTAAAATGAGCCTAAAATCTCAAACCTTCTACAATACCAAGTGATCCAAAAAACCCAGCCACCAACAAGCATGAACTACAAAAAGGATAAAAGCAACAGCAACTAATTCAGCTCACAAGAAAACCGACAATTCCAGGAATAACACATCAATGGACCTAGAATAAGATCAAGATCAAAAGCCATATTCCTTTGTGTGTAACACTCATCCCTCCGCTCTTGAAATAACAAAATTGCTTGCACTCACTCTGCAGATTAATGGCCGACGGGAAGATCGAGGCGGCGTGTCGATGGACCTCTTGAGACCTGGCGGCCATTACCGAGCAGGGGGTTGCATGGGCCCCATGGTGCGCGTGGGCATGAGAGTGGGTGGTGTGATGGGCCCCTAATGGCGTGGTGGTGCCTGTGCTAGTGGTCCCCGCGTTGCTTGGATAACCAGCTGCCCTCGCGGCCGTATAACGATAAGCAGCCTGGCTCATTTGTGAGCATGAGCTCAGGTCTCCGTATCCACATTGCATCTCACTGGCAGCCAGTGCACAGCTGGACGCCTCGAAGCCAGCAGCCGCTGCTGCAGCCGCTTGGTTCAAGTACGAGTAATCCATGGTTCACACGGTGCACAGGAATTTGAGGTCGACTGAAGGCGTCAGAGATTGATCACTGAGACGCTTGTCACTTGGACAGTTCATCGAAACTCCATCCTCACACCTTAGAGAACGTCGACAGTTCTTCCAGGTTCTTCCAAGTGGATGGCGACGACGATGATGATTCAGACAATTCCAGGTTGTTGAACGAGTGCACCAGGTTCCTTCATTCACTGGAACATGATTGTTCCCTTGGTATAGAGTGCGTTTTGGGTGCGGAGGGCGCGGGTACGCGCTCCTCCGGGCCCTGGCCGCGGCGTTCCTTAGGGCCCCGGCCAACTCACGCCGCTTCCTCCTTCGTAATCTCGACTAATCGGCGTGGAGGCCGCGGTGGCGGCGGCGGCAGCGTCGTCGCGTAATTCTCCGGCAGAGAAGAGCCAAGGGACGCGGGCGGCGGCAGAAGGTTGCTCGATAGCGGCTTATGACGCGTAATCGGATCAGCGATATCAAATTATTGCGATTATAGCCGCGGATAGAAAGAAGTTTTTCGGCCCGCTTAAGAGAGCCCGAGACGACCGACTGGTGGGTCTCCTCAAAATCAAATGATAAGCTTAATTCAATAACCGACGGAGAGGGTGCACGCTGGGGGTGTGGCCGGGCAACCGTTACGGGGAAACGGGTTTGGTCACTGTCTCACGGTCTCTACACGCTGATTCGTCGATCCACGTGCCACCCACCAGGACGGTGGTGAGCTGAGTCGCCGCCCTCCTCGTCTCTGTCTTCATCCCCGTCCGTGTGCCACCCTCTGGCTCGTGGAGAGACCTCTCCCCAACAGCCATCAGCCCGAATGAACGCTATCATTCGATGATGCCAACCCTCTCTCCTGTTCTCGATTTTACGATCGATTCCGGGGCAGGCCGTTTCCGCTGGACACAACGGATTTTACCAGCTACCCTTTCGACTCTGTTTACGCCTGACTCTCCTTTTGCGGCTGTCTTGGTACAATGAGACGCTGCTTCCTCCTAGGTGTTGCTCCTGCAAATGTTGTTGGGATCAGTTAGTTTTTGAATTTGCGTAATAGGGGATGATGGATTATTTCGTGGGATGAGGATGCTTACTGGTGCTGCCTTGCTTTGCTGTTGTGGGCCCTTGTTTGGCTGGAGGAGAAAGCGTTTCTTGGTGGAGCTTGATGATTATGATGGAAAAGGGATCGCTGGAAATTTGTAGGCGGACCTGTAGATTCACCTTAAGTAGATACGTACTATTGTTTAGAATTAAGAAGCAGATTTCGCGTGTTCGATATTGTAGATTTGTTATTAAAAGTGGACCAAGTTTGCAGTAAAGGAGAATCAGGTGAAACAATAGTTGTGACAAGGATTTCAGATTTTTCCTCTTGCAGTTCCTGAAATTTTCTGCAAGTGGGAATTAGATGAAACAGTAGTCACGTTAAAAAATATACAAACATTTAAAAAGACAAATCTTTGTTTATATAATTCTGATCTCGTTAAATATCCCTGAAAATTTCTGTAAAGGAGATATTCAAGTAAAGTAACAATTGCATAATTTCATGCTTTTTGGTCTTGCAGACCTATTGCAATAAAAGTGTAAGCAATAAAAATTGTAATGTCCTATCTTGTTACAACGTTCTACCTGTTTACTTGATTAAGTGACACATTACACATAGCAACAATGAAATATTATGACTGGCATGTGTAGAATAGCTCTTGTGTCCCTTAACCGTTTACATAAGTCACTAGAAACATCAAATGGCGTGCGAATAAAGGCCAAGGGAGTGGAGAGCATGAAATATGATTTATCTGTAGATAGAGAAATTACATGGCACGGGGCTAGCCTTAGATAGGTGGCAGGAACCTGTGCGACACTTGTTTCGCACTTGTTCTCACGGAAGGGCCACGACAAGAGCAGTCCTGGTGCTCGACCCTCTTCCCAGTGTCTTTTCCCGAGGGAATTCTCTTCCAGGGTACCAGCGGAACGTAGTACTATGCCGTGCAACACCAAATCGCCTATGGTGTGTATATTGAGAACACACGGGAACGTGTTCGTCCATTGACGTAACACACTTTCCCTAATTTCTATATTCACCTCTAACATCACAACTAATGTTACAATTCTCGTCAAACATTCGTTGACAATGTATAAAAATATAACGTCAACACAAAATGTATAAAAATAATACATATTTTCTGATGTTCCATATTACGAAGATGCAACCTAACCTCTTCGGTAAATTACCCGAATGTGTGTTTTAAACTTTCTAACCTCACTTAAGAATTCTTTTCGAGTAAATTAGGGAGGAACTTTTTTAATTGTTGGTAATGGTTCAATGGTCGCGTAAACAAATAGAGAGTAATAAATTGATCAACTTGTTGACAGATAAGTGATCGAGAAATTGGAATAGAATTCGGCAACCTACGCCACTGGAAGCAACGCAACATGCGTGCGCGTGAGAGAGCACACGCACACCGGCCAGCACGACGTTTCGTCTTTTATATCAATACAGAGAACGTCAACCCCCCTTAGCGGTTTGATACATATGTCCTTGATTTGTCCGGAGAATAATATTCTCCTGGAAAGTTGATTAAATATTGGTTAGCGATCTCGGACGCCCTTCACCCCCGCTGCGATTCCACCCTATCGACTCGAAGACCCATAGGAATATAATTTAATATTTCTCCACGTACAAGGGAAAATCGACTATTTTTCTTTTGATTTTTACACGTGTCCCTTGTCACTATTGTCCTGCACTTCTATGAGAGACATCGTTCTATGCTTACATGTGTCACTTGATTCTGTTGCTTTGAAAAAAATATATCCTGCGAAAAATTTGTACGATACATTCCAACGAGCTTGTCGTTACGTAGCAGACCGATATTTCCGCTATAATGAGATATAAAATGTATTAACGTAGTAATTTACGTTAACCCGCTGTAAAGTGTTACCGTGCGCTGATTAAAATGGGCTGCAATTATTCGTTTGCTATCCACTTTTGTACGACGTTATTACGAGCTAATCCTGTTTATTCCGCATTACACGTGCAGTTATTTTCTCTGCTGTGACGCGTTAATTTTGTCTTTGCGTGTCAAGAATGGTCGTGGAAAATTGCGCGTTTCATTACATTCGGTATGAATATAGCAGTACATTTGCATCACGTGTTTTAAACAGAATATTTGACTGGTACTTACTAATTATTTTCCTCGAAGCCACAATTTATCCACTCTTTCTTCTTATCGAGCACTATAATCACAAAAATAATACACTTTTCCGCGAGGTACGCGACATTTTCTCGAGATTCATATCGGAACTGACCTTTGCCACCAACGCCACTTTTTTACTACTACCCAGCATTTTGAACATTTAATTTTAAAATTGTACAAAATTGACACAAATTAATTTTTATATTAACATTGAACGTGAATTAAATTTAATTTGAATTCACAAAATGAATTAACTTTGTGTAATTATACTTTTTAGACAGTGAACGCAGCGCCACCATACACGCCAAAGTTTTTTATTGGCGCCAAGAAGCATACGAAAAGGTACCAGTGGACTGAAAAGATAGTGAATTAAATGTGACAAAAAATAGTTTTCTTATAAGTTTATTGTGAAAGTGGTGCTAATTCCTGAAATTGCGAGGCCAGGGGCATATCTGGGCGTGAGGGTAAGTTTTAACACTGCTTATAAACTTAAATCTTTTTAAGAACGAAAATCGAAGGTTTCACGTTTCAAAGAACATTGTAACATCGTTAAACGATACGTAGAATTTGGTCAATAGAGTTTAAGTAAAAAAGGAAACAAAGCTTACAAATAGTCCAAATTTAATTTTAATACTTGAAATTGTACAAAGGAAACAATAGTATCAAATAACCGAATAGGTTGTAAATTAACAAAAAGTTCACATTGAATTTGATTTTGTACGTAACATACAGAGGTTACAGAACCATTTTTCCATACTTTATAACAAACACAATTGTATCAAAACGAAATACACTTTAAATAAACTTGTAAAGACGATTGTTGCTTATTTATTCAAATCTTGAATTTCTATAAATATACCTAACAAAACCAAAAACGGTAAAAAAACATTCAATTATTCATAATGATTATTTTGGAAAATAGTTGCTCTCTGTAGTATTATAGAAATATTTATTTTATTGTTTTCCCGAATACAATATTAATAAATATTGGCAAACATTACCACAGGAAAACGTAATAAATAATTCTGCGTACCCCAGCGTATTATAATAGAAAAAATATACGTGATATACATTTTAAGAGATTTAGCAAATTCATTTTTGATAGAAGATTGCTGGATTTCTCACACAGGTATCGTTTATGAGTTGGTGTTCTGAAAGAAAAAAAATTTAACGAGAACAGAATTTTTTTATGAATAAAATATATTCAAATTATGAAATATTACCATAACTTGGTCGATAATGAAGTTCTTCCCAATTATCATCACACCTCCTCGATTGTTTAATATTATCCCTTTGTTGTAAATTAGTTACAACTGAATCAAATTTGTTGTTCCTTATTTCTACTATGTTCTGCTTAGGAACGTAAATTTGACATAGGTCGGAAGACTCTTTAACGCATTGAACTTCCGGTCGGTACACGACTAACTTTCTAGGTGGTGAATACTTCTCAAAAGACACTTTCGAATGATCCAAATTCGGTTGCTTGACATATACAACTCTGTTTTGCTCGCAAGTTGGCACGAATATAACTTCCTGCGTGCTTTTTCGAGGACACGACACCATATGATAATTAACATTAGGATTAATGACTTCTACATTATCGACAGAAGCAACGCGTTTGTTCTTCTGCACGTATATAGGAATTTTCTGCGTTTTTGAATTATTTTCAACTGCCAAATACTTGATTGGTTGTTGTTCAAGAACTACCGTATTTTCGATACACTGATTGTTGGTATATTTCACCTGAGACTCTCTTTCCTCTCCTGGCAAAATTTTCAAATTCTGCACTCCCTTGAGGATACCAACATCAGCCATATCTTCTTGACAGAAACGTCCATCTTGTAGCGTTCTAGACTTCTCAATCTGAGGTACATTATCATTGGAACATTTTTGAGTATTATTAAAGTCTTTGCAAGGATCTACTACCACATAGCATATATCTTGATCATTATGACATTTTTGGCTACTCTCACATTTGGGGCGTTGCTGAACCCTTCTTAAAAGCATTTTCTCGCAGACCATGGGTTTCTGACGCACTTGATGCACATTTTGCATTTGGGACACCTCCTTAAACTCTTGGCTACTCCTAAAATTGAGATCATCAGAGTTCTGGGAGCAACGCAGCGTTCTGTAACTGTTCTCCGGTACTCTCTGACAATTCTTATGCACTGTACAAACATTCTTTCCCAATTGTTCCTGTTGCACAGGAACGTTCTTCCTTATAATACAAACATTTGGATTATCCACTATTCCATCAGCAATTAAATTGTTCAAATGCAAACAGTGATCTATATTGCGTGCATCCTTCTTCGTGAACATCACGGTCTTCTGCACCTGAGGATTCTTCTTCGTCACAAAAATGTCGTTCACGTGTACATTTTGTTTGGCGCCCATTGGCTGGAAGTGTGAGCTCTTCACGAAGCATACTTCATCCTTACGTGTACTCGGTGATGCTATTACACACGTTTGCACATTTGCCATGTCAAATGTTGTATTACTCGAGTTTTCGTTCAATTCCGTTATCAGTGATTGCGGAGTAAAAAGAACGCCCCGCTTCGACGCATCTTCGAACAGCGTCTTTCGAGGCTCTTTATTATTATGCATCGACTCTTGAAATAAATTTAGTCGACTGTTATTATTCGAGGCAACGTTACTACATCTCCGCAGTATCGTTGGTATATGCTTCAAATTCTTCATTTTAACCTGCTGAGACTCTTTTGTGTTCAGCTTCCCCGACTGTCTTTTTAATCCGCTGTTTAACACGTGCACCGTCTGTGTACGTTGATTTTTGCGTCTTACTAGGTGTTTCTTGTTAACTAAATTACTTTGAAGTCCAGCTTCTGTTGGCACGAAGAGAACAGGCTTGCTTTTCACCTTTATCCTCTCCACTTCATTCAAACGAGTAGGAGGAATGCTTTCAAAGTATTCTATGTGATTTTTGTAGGTAGATGATGTAGAATGATTTACTTCTACAGAAGTATTTGTGTTTATATTTGCCGAATTGACTTCAGATATTACGCTGTTCGTCCCTCTGACCATTTCTGGTTCAACTATGTTTTTTAGTCTGCAACTAGGTTCGTTCAATAAAGATACACCAAATAGAAGATTAGACGTGGGGACTTCATTTCTTTTGGTGTCGAAATTAAAATCTGACACTGGTATTAAAAGTGCTTCCTGCCTATCTTGTAAATTCTCCTCTCCGTTGTTCTTCTTGTAATTAAGATGATACTCTGAGCTGTTGATAGCCACAGATACAAGGCCATCGTTTTGGCTATATCCAGAGGAACAGTATGCAATTTCTGACGGACGTTGATTTTCAATAGAAGTGCTTGGAGTGTCACATTCGTCTAGAATAGTACCACGTTTAATCCTGTCGCGCAGAAATTGACTGCGGAACGACTTTGCGTACATGCTTCTCAATTTTCTCTTCACTGCTATCAATGGATCTATAGAAGGCAAAAATTAAAAGATAATAATAATTATTATAAAAATAGAACTAGTAATTTTACATAATTCCTCGTATTTACTCAATGCAGAATTAAGTAAATTTTCAGAAATAATTATCTTCCTTTTCTCTGGAAGTTTTTGAGGGAACTCTATGGATTCAGGAGTGTTGGGAATTTCTGTACCTTCAACTCTTGAGTGGTCCCCCCTTCTGTTAAACGTGTACGCTGTTTTTATAATGTTTATAATTTTTGTTTGTTTGTAGATTCTCAACTTTTCGGTAGTTTTTCTCATTAGACTTACATTATTGATTTTTTTCTGTGTAAATCTTGTGTGAAAAGATTCAATGAAAATTATCTGAGACTTACCCATCCACTTTACCCAAAACAGGACTTATACCTTCACCAGGGGGAGTTGGTTGCAGGACACTTTTAATAGTAGAATCGAGTAAGTCGGTCTTTCGAGACTTCATTGGTGCTATTGTTAACTAATTTTTATGGTATTTTCACTTACATTGATTTTGAATCATAGCCGTGAAGAAGTTTTAACACGTCCCCTTGAAGACGAGCGTTATTTAGATCGTTCGGGGGCACTTTTATTTGAGCTATAAATAATTGTACCGTTTAATTCATTGATTTTATGATAAAAAAAATTAATTATATTTTGTAGCACCTACATCTTCTTATTTCTTTTCCTGTTGCGCCATTTCTGTATATTCCAGCTAACTAAAGTAAAAAATTATAGATAAAAATTATTCCGTGATATTTTCCATTTTCTTTTTTCATAGTAATTTATAGTATTTACTGGTCTCGGAAGAATTCGATCGGATATCCTTTTTGAATTTCGCGTCTTACTCGATTTCCCATCGATTTTCGTCTCTTTCTCCTGAAATAATTATATTTTTTCAAATAATGATCACAGAGGGAGAAACAAAGGTGGATAAATTGTTTAAAATATACATATTCTTCTCGTATGCCCGCAAAATGTTGCAAAAGTTTTATAAAATTACTCTGCCAAAATTTGTATGTCATCCGACTGTTCTGCTGAAAAATTGAATTTCGAATAACACGATATAAAGAATGTTCATATGCAGAATTAGTTTGAAACAAAATTTAAAATTCGTTATTTAATTTTTCGAAATTCAAGATATAACAATATTGTAAATTTTTTTTACAGTTTTGTGGATTGATAGTTATTGCAGTTTGTATAATATAAATTGTTAAATACGCTTACAATTATTCAAAATTAATGTTCTTTCGTAGAACGAAATTGAAAGATAATAAGGGACACTGTTGTTAAACACATTGTTTTTATTCTTTTTTCCTTTACATTTCTTTCGATCTATCGATACATAGGATCGCAAGACACATATTACCTAGCTTTAACTTAAAATCTACCCTTTGTTTGGTATTATGACATTACAGGTTAATCGA